CGGCCCCGCCATTGGGCGGTGCTGCCGTGGCCCCGCCCCCCGCGCAGTCCGATTGGCCCGGCTCGGGAATCGCTCCGCCTCCCCCGCCGCTCAGAGCCGCCGGAGCGGGGAGATGTCCCGCCTACATGCGTCCCTTCCGGATTGGAAGGCGCTGATTGAAGTCCCGCCCATCCGCCCAGCCTCGTTGGGCACAGGCACCACTGCCCGTGGGGAAAGTACAATACTATTGGTCGGAGCGGCTGTCAGTCATCGGGCTGGGGCCGATGCGCCGGTTGGCAGCAGTTCCCGAGAAAGGGGAAAAGGCTTTATTCGGGGTTGCTTTCTCAATGCCCGATCAGCGTTGGGGAACGGCAGTTCCTCCGGCCTCGCTGCAAAGCGCCGCTCGGAACAGACAAAAATATCTTTGCTCTAGAATTCCAGAAGATATTCTGGGTTAGCTCGTGGTGCCGGGGAAGGGAGCAAGGCTACCTCTCCCGCATCAGGCGGTGTGTCGGTCACCCGCGGTGGGAGAGGTCCTTGCGCGGCCCCCGCGGCGCTGGCAGGGGCGCTCCGGCACCAAGATGGCGGCGGCGGCCGAGCTGGCGGCGCTGGGCCGGCGCTGGCTCTGCTGGCTCCTGGGGCTGCAGGCGGTGAGAGCCGGATCCGGCGCGTTCGCGGCTGAGCGCGGCCGCAGTTCCTCAGAGAAAGAGCGGGTGTGAGGGCGGGGGAGGCGGCGTGAGACGTGTCCCGGTGCGGGAAGCGCGGGCGCCTCCTCCCGCTCTTGCGGCCGTGACCGCCTCTTGCTTTCCATGTCGGAGACTGGTCTCTGCTTCTGTCTTGTTTCTAAAACAGTTTGTATTGGTGCTGCCTTTTTTTTTTTTATTCAGTAAATTTTTTGTGTGTGAAAGCAAAGCAAGTGTAACGCGTACTTGGAGCCAAAGCTTTGAAGGAGAAAATGCTGATGAATTGAGGTGCATCGCTTGCTAAGTGTCTGAAATCATCTTGTTCTGATGGAAATTTACTTTCTGAAGTGTGAAGGGTTTTTCCAGTCCCAGTCAGAGACATTTACGACGTTTAGAATATTTATTGTTTCAGGAAAATAATCATATTTAGTTAAGATACTAAAAATAGAGTAAAAATATTAAGGAGAGAGACTTCTATTTCTTTTTTTCTACACCTCTCTGTAGTTTTACTCTCAAGTTTTTTTGAGCTTGCTACGTAACCAAAACTACTTGAGTGAGGAATTGTCATATGATGGAGCCTTTACTTGCTTTCATACACTGTTAGTGTTTTGGTTGGTTCTTTCTCACATAGACACAACCCAAAAAACATTCTCAGGAGAGTATTTGCCTTACTTTCACAGATTATTTAGGGGTCTGTTGGGCAAAGGTGTGAGGAGAGAGGCTGCTGGAAGCAAAGTGCCAATGCCAGTAGCCCTGTTATTGCTCCAAGGGGAACAGATTTAAAAGATGACAGTAAAGCATCAAAGGGGTGGATGGCAAGCAGCAAGATGCAAGAAAATTGTTTTAGTTACTACCATCATTAATTTAATAAGTGAGCAGTAATTAAAATGTAGCTTCAGCTGTGTTTGGAATGCCCCTTAGGGGCTTTTTATACTACTGTGTCATTGTTGTATTTCTTATTGCCAGTATCACTCAGAAAAGATAAATACTTGAGAAAGATAGATACTAAATACTTTGAAAACTAAATACCTTAGTAAAAATCCTTAAAAAAAGGATAAATTATTCCAGTAGAACAGGGTTTCATTTTTGCTTACCTGTTATACAGTGTCCTGGAGGAAGAAGAAAAATAGCTTTCTGGCAGACAGAATAGTGATTTCAGAATACCTTTTTTTTGTGTATTATACTTCTCTGTTCATGTTTTAACTCTTATTTTTTTAGCAGATACAGAGAAATAGAGTAATGAGGCACCTAATATATTTTCTACTAATTCTCAATCCATAATATTTTTAACTGTCACATAAGGGGCATGTATTTCCTTCAGCAGTAGGTTGGCCACTTCAGCAGAGGAAATGGGGTTTGCCTCTGTCTTACTTGGCTGTGCTGCATGGATTAGATGGCATGTGAATGTGAGGAGAAGTCTGTTCTGCTGAATGACAAACTTACTTTTTCTTCTGTACTTTTCTGTTTGGCCCAGTATAATTCTTCTGATTCTTGGCTGTTATCATCCAGTTGAGTTTGCTGGTGCCTTCTCACTCGCCTCAGAACACAGTGGTGCTGATTGTAATGTTGGTGCTTTGGATGTAGTAAGTTTTGCCTGGGGTCTTTTACCCAGACTGAAAAGCATTTGGGAAAGCTGCCTTCTTTCTCTCCATTCTTAATTCCCTCTCCCACTTTTTCCCCTCCAAAGCAGGCAGCTAGGAGGGAAGGTTTAAAGCTAAGGTGTGAGAAATCCATATGTAGAAAAGTGGGAATGTGAATTTGCTACAAGAAAGACATTGAGGGGCTGGAGTGAGCCCAGAGAAGGACAGTGGAGCTGGGGAAGGGTCTGGAGCACATGTTCTGTGAGGAGCAGCTGGGGAAGCTCAGTCTGGAAGAAAGGAGGATCAGAGGGAACTTACCAGTCTCTACAACTGCCTGGAAAGGAGGGTGTAGCCTGGTGAGGGTTGGCCTCTTGTCCTAGGTAGCATGTGATGGGATGAGAAAAGCATGCCTCAGGTTGCATAAGAGAAAGTTTAGGTAGGATATTAGGAATAATTCACTGAAAATGTGGTCAGGGACTGGAATGGGCTGCCCAGGAAAGTGGTGGAATCACTGGAAGTGTTCAAAAGACATGTGGATGTGGCACTTGGGACAGGGTTTGTGGCTGAACACTGTGGTGCTGGGTTAGTGGTTGGACTCAGTAATGATCTTAGAGGTCTTTCCCAACCTTAGTGATTCTATGAGAATAAAACCCAAGTAACATTTAAGTGTTATTGGTTGTGTTACTTTTGCTGCCCATAGAAAGCAGAACTGGTGTTTTACATAGAAGCCATGTAATTGAATTGCCTGTTATAAAGTATTGCTGATAAATCAGAATTGCAGGGTTTTGTCTGCACTTCCACTTACAGTATATGCAATTTTCCTGTAACATTAATGCTAACATGAAATTAAAATCCTACCTGTATGTCTGGTTGAGCAGTTTGGTTAATTTCATCACTTTCTGGTTGTGTTTTTCCTGAGCTTAGCTGTTACATTATTTTCCATGAGTGTTTTTAGTGATCTGAAACTTACTGAAATTCTTTACAAAGAAGAGGCTTTGAAAAGCTGTAAACATGTGCATTTCAGTTGAGTCATTACCTTTGGGTTTTCTTCTTAACTTGAAGTTAGCAATAGGAAAGCAGTAGGGTATCAGAAGTGTATCTAAATTAATTTTGGCAGGTCTGATACCTTGAAATGTACATATTATGAGTGTCTCAAATTCTCTGTTAGTTTAAGATCCTTTTTCTCAACAGGGTGGTGTTTTGAACCCCTGGGCTGACTATTTAGGCATTACTGTAAAACAGTCACAAGAGACTTACTTGTTCTTTCCAATCCTTATAGCATTTAAAATCATCTTTAAAAAAAATAAAAAAGATACTAAAGTGTAACATTGTATTGACTTTCAGGTAAGTGTTTATGGAGCACAGCTGTCATCCGAAGCTTGCAGGGAGCTGGGCTTCTCCAGTAACTTGCTGTGCAGTTCCTGCAACCTTCTTGGGCAGTTCAGTCTGAATCAGTTGGATCCATTCTGCAGGGAGTGCTGCCAAGAAGAAGCTCAGCTGGAAACTAGAAAGGTGAGTTTTGGACCAAATTCCTTGTGGAATAATTTAACATGTCAAGTTTATGAAACTTTTCATTAAAAAGAATATATGAGAATCTGGATTATCATTTAGAGCGGAACATGCAGCATTTATTCATAGCCTAATATACAGGATCTAGATATGCAGGGTTGCCATACTGCTGTAAAACAATGTCCCTGTACCAACAGGGGAATCTTTAGTTCTTTGGCAGCCCTTCTCTGGTGTGACGTGACCATAGGTGGGAACTATATCCAGCTTCTTTTAAAAGGAAGAGACATGGGATTGGAAGAGGGCAGAAGAAGAGGATGAGGAGAGTGGTGCTTGATGACAGCTCCTGCTTGGTCAATGACCCATAGCATAATGGCCAGGATAGCTCAGTTCAGTCCTGGGCAACAAAAGGCTGGTGCAGCCTTCAGGTCAGTTCCTGGTGTGGCACAAACCTGATAGGAGCAGGACTGCTCACCTCCATCCTGCAGCAGTGACAACACCTGGATATTTTGGGAATGATCTCTCTCAGAGCTCATACTGTGCTTCGATCAGTTTAAGGCAAAACCTTTCCTTTATCTGTGGTAAATAAATATCTCTGTTCCTTAAGGTATGTTATCAATGAAGAAGTTTTTTTAGAGTTCTTGAAAGAATACATGTTTTCTAATATATGGTAATTTAAAAGTTCAAGAATATAGTGAAGACAAATCAATCACCAAGATAGTAGAGGTTTCAAGGATGAGAGGTGCTGAAATTATTTTTAGTGGCTAGGAGGTAATGAAATAAGTGACATAATGAAATTAATGTGGAAATCTAGCAGGTTTTTCCTGTCAATTAAATTCAGCCTAATATTTA